AACGAGGCTCATCGTGCGTCCGTTTCTACGGCAGCCTACCCTGGACGCCCCACATACCGTGGCTTCGATTCAGCACCTGCGGTCACAAATGCGCTGCCAGCTCCTGAAGAGCATCGTCAAGACTCGGCGCCGCCGAGACATCACTCGTACGATGCCCACGCAGAGTATAGGTCTATGCAGCCGACAGTCGAAGATGTGCCGGAATCGCCCAACACAGCCGCGAGCAATGCTCAGAGAAGGATTTCTCGCGCACCCCAGTACGATGAGCCAAGTTACCGCCAAGAGCAAATCCAGCCGCCACCGCAGCAGCAGCAGCAGCATCATCATCATCATCATCAGTCGACCGAGATGACTCGGCGCCGAAACTCCCATACACCACAGTATGACGAAATGGGATACGACCAGGGATACGACCAGGTTCCCAGTCCGGCACCGTTGAATATCAGCGGAAGGGGAAGTGCCAGCTCAACTCGTCAACGTGGCCACTCACCGCAGCCTAGCTATGGCCGAGGGGATGATATGGGTCAAGGCGGACGTTACAGTACCTCCCCACGACCTGAGTTCCAGCCGAGAGGTGACGAGTTGGTATTCGCAGGGAGGGGCGCCGTTTCTCCTGGTCATTATAGTACATCGCCACAACCAGATTACCAGCAAGATTACCAGCCCAGGGGCGACGAGCTGGTCCTCGCTGGCAAGGGCAATGTTTCTCCTGGCCACTACAGTACTTCACCGCAGCCGTACCGGGGCGATGAGATGGTTCGTCATCAACAAGCCTCCCCTATTGCCTCTCGTGACTTCGCTCCAAGTCCCATGGACGGAGCATCCTACCACTCGCACTCACGGAGCCAGAATCAGTATACCTCACAGAGGTCTGAGCTGGGTGGAACGCAGATCACGGCTCACGGCATGCCCGCTGTGCCAGCTTCTTTGGTGCCAGGCGTCGATCACAGCGTCTCGCAGGAGATCTCGGAACGCATCTATGAGGAGAGACGTCAACAACGGCGCTATACTGATCAGAGCATGACTACCCCAACTCGTGGAAGACAACACAGTGAGCCACTCGGTTACGACGGAAGCTACTCGAACCAGTCCTATGTTCCACCAGGATACAACCACCGCTCCTCTGTGGCGTACGGTGCTCCTCAGTCTGACATGAACCGTGGACGGGGTGTTTCGCCTAATCCGATGAGAGGTCGGGGTGCGTCCCCTAACCCGATGATGGCAAGAGGCGCATCACCAAACCCGCACGGCACTAGGAGAGGTGTATCGCCCAATCCAATGAACATGACAATGGATAGAAGAGGAGCTTCGCCTCAGCCGCCCCCCCAGCACATGAGGTCGCGGGGAGCCTCACCTAACCCGCATCACACCATTAAGCGGAAATCTGTTAGTCCCGCGCCGCCTCCGTCTGACCATCGGAGGCTCTCTGGCATCCCTTTCGGGCCGGATTCGTACGATGCTCTCAACCCATCGCTGTCGGCTACCAGTAGCAACGTTTCAAGACCGGACCCCGATGAGAAGATCATTACTCACGATGGTCGTGAGATCGACCCTTCGGACCACTTGCCTATGGACACATGGGCGCCGGAACCCGAGCCTAAGGGGCCCAAAACCCCAGCTACGGCTTCTGTCCGCTCACAAGCGTCACCAGCTGCTACTCAGGTAATGCCCCCGACTGGCCGTCGGCAATTGCGTATTGCAGGTCGGCCTCAGTCTCAAGCATCGCCGGTCACATACGGTTCAGATCCTTACCACGTCCCGGGCACACCGCCGAGCGGAGGTCGGAACCGCTTGCAAAAGAAGACGCAGCGCATGTCTGCTATGCCTACAACATCACCGTCGGGTTCCAGTCCCCTAGCCCCTATCTCGTCGCACAACTACCAAGATCATGGCAGCGACTTTACGCCACCGCGTCTCCCCAGGGCAAGCACGTGGGACTACCCCAGCGAGAACCATGCACCACAGTACGGCAGCTCTCCTGGAGGCGGATATGGCGGCGCGCCCCCAATCCCAGCGAAGGTCCCCTTGCCTATCATGAGCGGCGCGAATGGCGATAACGAGTGGGCTTTGATGCAGGAAATGAGCCGCATCGACATTGGCGCCGGTCGCTCCAGGCGTCATCGTCACTACTAGGCGAAGTCGATACGGCGTATGAATGACTGGGTGATGTTCATACGGAGTCCATGTAATTGTACTATATAATGGTAACGGGTCACGCTTTGAGTGTTGAATGGTTTCTTTTGAATGAACTGGAAACACGGTTTGGGCTACGGGGTCGGGTATGATGGGTTGGTAATGCTGTAGACAGCCGGAATTCCATTTCTTCATATTCATGATTTGCCGCCTCCGTAATTGATTTGTGATGACTTGAGGTAGAAGCTCGGATGCACAGCATCACCTTGAACAGCTCATGCCCAAGTTCGGAGAGGTTACGGGATGGGGCAAGTCAACATCAATCCCCGATCTAAAAAGAGTATCGAGACTGGTATCTTATTTGGTTTGGGGTTTCAAATGGTAGTTTTGGTGACAACGATGTTTGGGGAAGGCCGATCCGTGTCTGTCTCGGGAAATGGTGCCCACGTCGTCTAGTCTTGCCATCCACTTCGGCTTCACCTTCTCACCTCAGGAGAAATCTCACGCCACGACTTGCGTTCATGCTCGAGTGGATTAACTCCATTCGACGCCCTTCGATTGACGAGGTCAACGGGATCCCACCGCCAACGAAATGTTGCAGCCATAAAAAGCTCCTCCACCTAACCCCTCATTTTCTCCGGATCACCATTTCTCGCCGACTTACACCACCACCTACCCTTGACGACTGAGGCTGGCCTTTACTCAACAACGCGCTCGCGACTGACAGGCTTCATGTCGGAATGGGTTCAAAGACACCCGAAGACCATATTCCAGGAGGCAATGGTAATGAATCCAAAATGCTGTCTTTGTTTAATTAGCCTTCATAACCAAGTGGTAGCATGCTAATTGATGTCGTTCAGGCGGGCCCACTTCGTCCGGCATTTCTTCCGGCGGGGAGCCGCGCGGCGTGCACCTCTCCCGTGACGGGGACGGCAGTCTCGGCGACGGGGGCGATGACGACGGCGACGATGGCGACGAAGATGAAGTTGTCGCTGGCACCGGATCGCTGAACAATGCAGCAGACAACGACGATGGCAACGATGATAATGGACCCAAGAAGAAGAAACGAAAGCCCAGAAAGAAGAAGAAGAAGGCTTCTGCCGCGGCGACTGCTACGAAGCAATCTGACCCTCCGAGGGTGCCGCTGAGCGACCTCTTCACTTCGGGCTCGTACCCGGCCGGTGAGGCGCAGGCTTACACCAAAGCCCGGGATGCGGCTACGGCTACGGGTGCGGACTCGGATATGAACAGCGCGCGCACGACGGCTGCGGAGTTACGGTACCAGTCCCGCCCGCACCTCGAGGACCCGAGCCTCCTGAACGACTACCGTAAAGCCGCTGAGGTTCATCGGCAGGTCCGACAGTGGGTTCAGGATACGGTGAAGCCCGGTAAGCAGACTCTGCTCGAGATCGCTACGGGGATCGAGGACGGGGTGAGGAGTTTGCTGGGGAACCAGGGGTTGGAGGTGGGTGATGCGTTGAAGGCTGGGATGGGGTTCCCTACGGGGCTTTGTCTTAACCATGAGGTTGCGCATTATACGCCGAACCCGGGGCAGAAGGATGTGGTGTTGAAGTATGAGGACGTGATGAAGGTTGATTTTGGGGTGCATGTGAACGGGTGGATTGTGGATAGTGCGTTTACGATGAGTTTTGATCCGGCGTGGGATAGTTTGTTGGCTGGGGTGAGGGCTGCTACGGAGAGTGGGATCAAGGTCAGTCTTCCTCTTCACGATGTCCCACTTGCGATCTTGTTGGGAATGGAAGGAGGCGTATGCTGATGTGTATGTGTCACAGACTGCCGGAATCGACGTCCGCATCTGCGACGTCAGCGCCGCGATCCAGGAGACGATGGAGAGCTACGAGGTTGAGGTCGGCGGCAAGATGTACCCCATCAAGCCTGTTCGCAACATCTGCGCGCATGATATTGCGCGGTACCAGATTCATGCGGGCAAGTCGATTCCGTTTATCAAAAACAACGATCAGACCAAGATGGAGGAGGGGGAGATCTTTGCGATTGAGACGTTTGGAACGACGGGGCGTGGAAAATTGTATGATGATGTGAGTTTCTCCCCTTCCCTGAAGATCGTTGGCTGTGTGACTACTTTGGCGTCATACTTTTGGCGTTGGGAGTCTGTGGAAGGAGACTTACAACGATGATTAGGTCGGTATCTACGGATACAAGTTGGATTATGACGCTCCTGCTCAAGTCAAGTTGCCCTTCCCATCTGCGAATCGTCTGTACAAGACGATCAAAGAGCAATTCGGAAGTATTGTCTTCTGCCGCAGATATCTTGACCGTCTCGGCCTAGATCGGTACTTGGCTGGTGTAAGTTTCTGTCGTATCTCGTGGCACTCATATTGTTTATTGACATGTTTTCTTTCGCAGCTCAAATCCCTGGAATCTCATGGCATCCTTGAGTCGTACGCACCTCTTGCGGATATCAAGGGCTCTCAGTCTGCGCAGTTTGAGCATGTGAGTTACGATTTCTCGGCGCGAGGCTTCCAAGAAGAGTGATTCGAGAGACTAACAGAAGTAGACCATCCTACTCCGCGAAAACAACAAGGAAATCATCAGTCGAGGAAGTGACTATTGATAAGGGACACAAGAACCAGAATGTGATTTTGAGAAGGGCCTTTTGATGTTATTTTTTGCGAGAAAATAAGGGTGACGTCTCAACACGTCGTAGTACATCAGGATGACGCGGACTCAACGCTCCATCGTCCGAAGAAAGGCGATTCGTTACTGCCATAGAGAGCCTTAACGCTTCTATGTGCTCTTGTGGGCGTTCAACACTCCTTTGCAACCTTTTGTTTCGTTCACTTGTATTTAGAGCTCTGCGTCTTCAGCACTAGAGCCCGTTGAGATGTCTAAGATACATATACACTCACTTTTCCTCCCTCCCCAATCTCGACACATACGTTGTATGCAAGGTAATCTTCCCTCCTTTTGTATATTTTGGCGACGCCGGCCACTCCCAAAAAAAAACGTTCGCACTGAATAATAAAGTGGGGATCAATGGTAAATTCTTGTGTCTTGCCTTTCGCACTATGTTGAAGAAGGAGGTCAGCAATTATCAGCCTCGAACTCCTATACATCTGTTGAAGCAGGCTGACTCCGTTCTTGTCCACCTCGTTTGCAGATGCTCCACTCTCAAGCAGTTTTTTCACCAGACGATGTTTTCCGTGGAAACATGCATGTTGCAAAGCGTTTTGAAGAATCTCCTGTGGTATGTTGACTCGCCGGTTTCGACGGGGGCTGAAATGCTTGAGAAGCTCCTCGGCCGCATCAAAGCAGTCGAACTGAAGTGCTGAGAGCACACTCTCGTAGACTGTGTCTGCACCAATATCGTCCAGAGGCATCAGCTTAATGATCTTAGACTGGTTACCGCAAGATGCAGTATAAAGAGGGTGGCATTTGTAGTCGAATTCGATAGATACTAAGCCCCATGGTGGAGGAGCAGTTTGACAATTTTTTCATGCCCCTTTGCAGCCGCGAGGCTTAATGCACTCATACCGTCGGCGTCTGTGACATTGGTCTTTGCACCTCTTTCTATCAGTGCATGGGCGATCTCAAAGTGCCCTTCTCTAGAAGCTGGAACAAGAACGTTGCTAAAATATGCAACTGTGTCCGCATGAGACATCTTACTGAGGAGCATTAAGCTGATCTGGAGGGAGAGCGTGGTCGATCTCCTCGAAGCATCCACAGCCCTTTCACCGACTTCGACCCCTGTGCTACGAAGGACTTCGATAACGGTTTGCCAATAACGAGCAAGGATGTCGACACCAGTGGAAGACAAACTTGCGACTGCTCCTTCATTCAACAGAATCCCCACGATTTCTTCATGAGAATTCAAAGCAGCGGCCCCGAGAGCGGTTTTCCGTGGTGCACTGACCTTTGCATTGACGTCTGCCCCCTTTTTGATGAGAAGCTGTACAGTAGTCTTGTGGTCATAGGTTGAGGCAGCCGCCAGAGCTGTACCAAATTGCCCGCCCTGTGTGTTCAAGTCTGCTCCCTTGCCAATGAGGATGTTTGCGACAGCATCATGGCCTCTGTATGAGGCAGCCTGAAGAGCGGTCCCATATTTACCTCCCTGCGCATTGCAGTCCGCTCCCTTATCAAGTAGGATTTCCACAACAACTTCGTGACCGCTGAGTGAGGCGGCTTGAAGAGCGGTGCCGTTTTGTCCACCCTTTGCATGCAGGTTTGCCCCTCTGCTGAGGAGCATTACCACAACCTCTGTATGACCATTTAAGGCAGCGACTTGAAGAGCCGTGGTACCATTTCCACTTTTGGCGTTGACGAGCTTTGGGTTTGCCTTCAGAACCTCCTCCACAGCAAACACCAGACCTTCGAATACACAGAAGTAGAATAAATGAAGGGGACCATCATTCTCTTCTTGAAACAACCGCTCGCAATACATTTGCATCGCTACACTCATACTTGTGTCTGGTAGTATGACAGCCTCTGTCATACGCTGGTATTCGCGGTCGTAGAGGTAGTCTTCGAGGCAAAGATCGGGATTCCATTTTTGTTCCTGTCGATAGGAGCGTTCGTATCTCGCTTCTTGATCACATTCAAGATGAAAGTCAGAAAGCTGAAAGCAAACTCCGTAGCAGTCTCTATGACCAAGGAACTCTCGAACAAGAGGGGCAATGGTGTCGGAATCAGCTCGAGCAGCATATCGAGCCCAGTACTGCGCAGCATACGGCGCTAATGGGTACGAAGATTCAAACTCCGCTGGTAGAAGACTATAATCCATGCTCAATAAGTATGCAAGGCATACTCTCGCCATTACTGATTTAGCGATGCGTTCCTCAAAGGCACAAGGGAACTTTGTCTCCATGCGGTCTGAGAGGAGATATTCTTTTACTGAGAAATGCGCGAGCTGAAGAGTCTCCACTGTCTTCCCCTTGGATCCAACAGTTCTAGTGACAGACACGACCAGGCTAGGGCAGTAGATTGAAAAATCGTCTTTGTCTGGCCTTGATGCGGGATTGAATATCGGATTGTGTTTTTTTGCTTCAGGAGATACTGCGATGATGTCGACGGCTTCCTCCAGACGTAGGGGATCTTCCGAATGGAGCAAAAATTGCAAGATTATCCATGCTTTTTGTTGATGTACAGCAGGAATTCTATCCAGGATTCTCGCATAAGTCTCATCTAAGGTCGTCGGCAGCGAGTTCAAGGATGATCGGAGCTCCTCGTCATTCAAGCAGTGCCGAAGTTCAAAAAGTTGACATGATACCCAGCGAAACCTAGAGCATTGATCAGTCTAGTAAAACCAAACATGACACATCTCTGCTTACATTCCGTCGGCTTTTTCGCTCAGGTATTTTTCGACCTGTTCCCGAGAAGACTCGTTGTTTCGCCATTCTGGCAGGTCGCCCCATGTCCTGAGTGTCGATCGGATAAATGCTCGTATGTCTTTATTGACTGACTTGTTCCGCAGAGGAATCTGCATGTCCTTGGGAATGATATCCTTCAAAACACGACGAATGTCTTCTTCTTGGCGACTTGTGACCAAAATATGAAATTTCGCCCCTTCAGATTCCAGAAGAGTTTTGATCCAATGTAGCAGCCCTTTATTTTTAAGCGCTTGGCCTTGTTGGCATTCGCGAAGTAAATCCCGTTCATCAAGCGCATCGAGAACAATCCAGACTTCGCCGGCTACCTCAAGCATAGCATTGAACCATGAGCACAGAGAGTCATTGTCCGGTTGTGCTGAACTGGCTCCTCTGGATTCGAAGACCGAGTCGAGATATTCTTGAGCAGCCTTGCTCTGGCAGTGAAGTTGTTCTATGAGAGATCGGATTGCACCGTCCAGCGACTGCTTCTCAGTGTTTGTGAAGGTAAAATAGAAATAAAGGCAGATGCTCGTGCTGCCTCGTAGATCTCTGACGATCGTCGAGCTTAGGATCGTCTTGCCACATCCTGGGCCGCCATACAGCCATAGGGATGACCCGGGATTTGTCTTCCAGTCCAGATACTCCTTCGTGTCAAGAAACCACTGGCCCGTGCCATCATGTTGTAAATTGAATGCCTTGTTGTGATCGATCGATGGGTCTGGTGCAGAAAGCCATGAATGAATTTTGCCGGAACGATTGCCAGCGGTCAACTGCTCGACTTTCCGATGTGTCTCCTTTGTGGTTGCCTCGATCTGAGAGACTAAATTACACATGAGAAACAATGAAGTCTATCGGTAGGTGCTGCCTACTGACCTTTTTCCATAATCTCTCCTATTTTCCTGGTTTGTTCCACATTCATGCCCTCCATTACTAACAGTAGCTCTTTGGCATACGCAGCGGCAACAATCGCCGCATAGTTTTGCCACCTATCATTCTTGTGGCTGTCTGCGTAGTCACAAATTCCTCTGATCACGAGACAGGGGAAGTCATTCATCAGACCGGCTGCCTCCATTTCAAAACAAAGACACCCTGTCTCAAGTTGTTGCAGGATTTGGTCTCGGGAAATGCTGTCTTTGACAACCGAGTTTCCGGAAGCAATGATGCCATAGTGGATCTCAGGGTCAGTATCGATTCGATCGTCTCTTTTGAGTTCATCTTCAGGATTGCAGTGTATGCAAGCTCCGAACTTCGCATTAATGCTTTGAGGCCTTGCTTCTCCAGCCTGACCATTTGAAGCCGATTCGGCACCGATTCTGTCGTTTTCAGACCTCCACTGTGAGATGAGAAGAAGCACTATCATACTCCAAACCCAAGCTGTTGAGATGCGAAGATGATGGTAGGAAAGCTGAGCGAAGTTCATTGAGACTTTTTTTCCCGGACGTACAGAGCCCTGTAGTTTCCCGACTTGCACATGTGTCGATGACGCTGCGAATAATCGATCGTTCTGAGGTCCTTGATGAATGAATGCTGCGTCTTTACCGCACGGTTCGGCCAGCCGTGGAAAGAGTTTGAGCGCATCAGCTAAGATCCTCGGCAACTGGTTGCCATTGAGTCGCTGATCAGCTTTCAACTTTGCTAACCCTTTAAGCAAGACTGCTGGTGGAGGAGCAAGCGAACCAACTCGCTGGAATTCGCCATTTCCCCTCAACTTCCCCAAATCATACTGTATGACTCCCGAAGACCCATCGGTGGGCCGACTAACCACAACGTCGCCGAGGCGGATGTCAATACCGTTTTCTATCCTAGGGATACCGGCACCGATGCCGACCATGAGACCGAATCGAATCTGCGGAAGCGAGAGGATCATGCTGTTCGCAGTCGTTGCTGCCGACACAAGACCATAGCTTCCTTCGGCTAATGAAGCGATGATGACATTGTGAGCACCGATCCGGCCCCAAGAGTAGCTGTTCGTATCTCGTTGATTTTGAATGAAGTTTCCTGGTTGTTGGTGTCTTTCGTCGAGCATAGCAAGTGCGGCTGTGAGTTCTTTGTCCAGAGCAGCGATCCATCCGATAGTATAGGCCTGAAAATCAGGCAGTCGTCTCTGATCTGACATGATTTCTTCGTTGAGGGACGCACAGGTCCCACGCAGCAGTGAGGGAATCCTCGGATTTTGCTATCAACTCTACTTGGTCGTGAGTGGTCCAGAGGTGTCTGTAAATTGGCCTTGTCTGAGAATAAATCGATTGAAGGCAGATTAAAACCCCCAGTGAATGTAGCCGCCAGCCTGATCATTCACTGTACAACACGTAAGCACGAAGCTGAGATAATTGGCCTGTCAGCAATGACCTGCACAATGCGATGTGCATGCTGAACCAATGAGGGAAGACAGCGAGGGGGGCAAGAGATACCCATGTTGAAACCAGCTTAGCCAGGTATCTCGTGGCTGGCTGTCTCTTGTATGTGAGTCGTGGTAACGGTCATACTTGACATCGGGTTTTCGCTGATGACGAATGCAATGTTCTTTCAATGGTTAAATGAATATCAAGATGCAGAGAGAAGCGTTTTCTGGAAGAGCATACGAGTAGCACTACCGATTACTTCATATGCGCCGGAAGATATCCCAAAGGGCGTCTGCTCCATGGCTAGATGTCTTTAGTCTTCTAAGCTTCTTAAACAGCAGACATTATGGGGCGGCCGTAAACCTTCAAGCGCTACGCTGATGTGTCTCGTGCTTGAAAGTCATCGTATTTTAGTCACAGTGAATAAAGTTCCATTCTCACTTAGCAAGAGCGTCAAACAATGTAACCAAACCTATCAAAAGAGCTCCAGCCGTGACGATGAAGCTGCCCACAGTCGCTCCAGTCTGAACGCTTGTCTGCACATCTGTCTCATACTTCAGAACCGCAACAATGGGCCAAGCCACGACTGTGGCAATGCTGACGATAGTCGGCAGCAGAACGACTATCGAAATCAGGGTGGTATCCCATCCAACCACGAACCTCAATCCCTTGAGCGAGTCTGCTTGTACTAGATCCCGGTAAACAGAAGCGCGTCGCAGCTCTCGTATATCCCTACGAGGATCATGACCAGCCGGTACACTGGTCGGAGTTTCATTCTCTACCAGTCTCAAGATTCGCTGGGGGACGTCGAAGCCGGACACTAGTGGTCCCTTGTAAATATCGTCTGTGATCTGCATGGCATGTTAGTGAGTTAGCTAGGAAACTTCGTCGGCCGCATCATTTGCTGTGTAGACTTGTTCATGAATGGACCTTTCACTTACCTCTACGATCTCGAATCTAATTAGCGCCTTCGGGAGCAGAACCTGGGAGAATCCGCCCTCGATCCTGTACAAACGATAGAAGAAGGAGAGGTGTTTCCACATCTGAAGGTCATCCATCCCAGGTTCGTCTGGACCTGGAAGCGGAATACGAACGCAATCGGACCGTCCGATGAAGACGGGAATGAAGTGCCCAGGGTACTTCAGTTTCCAAGCTTCATGATAGTTTTGGGAGAAGCGTCGTCGGCGGATGGCGAATAGGCAGTAGATGAACCAGAAGTATGACCAGATTGAAGGCCAGAATGAAGATACCTTCGACACGAAGACCAGACAACTTGTGGCCTTTTTAAATAAACGAGCTAGTATCTAAGAAGTAGATTGACCGGAACATGGATCTAGACAGGGGCAGAGCTTACGTAGTAATGGCCGACACTAGAAAGCAACGATCCGATTGTGAATGTGCCGCTTCCTAGCCCAAGGGTCCTAAAGATGAAAGCAATGATCTGGACTACTAGAACGGAGGTGATGATGAGACTGGGACTGGACCAGACAGAGTAGAAGATAAAAGAATAGACGACAATCGAGTTGCAGAATATAAGACAGGCCATGAGACGCCAGCTACCAAGAAGTATGGGGAAGTATGGTGCCGGTACAGGTTGGGTTACTTCGTCGACGATGAACGCATTGATGGTGAAGCCGTGAGGTCGCGTGGGATGCAATCGTCGGTACCAACGAACAAGACGAATGAGGAACGCATTTCTCCTGGCTAAACGATCAACAAGGCTCTCGATATCCATAGCATAAAGGTCGTCAAGTTGTGCTTGAGCAAGTTTATGTTATCTGGCTGAGATGAATGATTGAAGCAGGACGAAAAATACGAGGCTGCGATACCGATCACTTCAGCATCTCTTGCCATATGACCATGAGGTCATGGCCGCTCAATGCAGGGTCGTGGCAGGGATAGCATGGTTGGTAAAGATCACTCGAGCTGGAGCTGAAGATGGTGGCTGACATGGTCTAGTGATCACCCAATAGGATATGGTTGACGAAGCCGGCTTCTTTTCTGCCCGGTCTAGATGTGAGCTGCAACGAATGAGATCCTTTTCAGACATATTTAAGGTCGTGAAGCTGAAAGATCATACATGAGATAGTCGTTCAAATGTTAGTTCTCGTACTAGCCGGCACAGGCAGGTAGACTTCTCCCAGAGGTTCGGCCTGTAATCGCGATACATGAGATACAGAATGCGATGCTGCTCATAAACGACAAGTCTGAATTTGTTCGCTAGAATGTAATCTTGGTACCAGTATGTTTCGCCGCCGTACCCGTCAACCGCGCAACCATGAGATCGTCCTGTGCCTTGAGCTCGCCCGCGGGCTTCTCCGTCTTCGGGGGCCGGGGCGCCCTCGGCTTCCTCTCCTCGGTCGCCTCCTCCGCGCCCTCGCCGCCCTCCTCGCCGTCCCTCCTGGACTTTTGCTCCTGCCTCTTGGGCGCGTCCTTGCCGAACCGCTTCTTGTACCTCGTCTGGTCGTCCTCGGCGAGCTCAATCTTGAGCATGCGACCGAGCAGCTTGTTAACCCACCATTTTCTCAGCTTGAACTTCTTCTCCTCCGTCTTCTTGTCCTCCTCGCCTTCGGCCATCTCGTCGTCGCCATTCTTGTCCTTGGAGGCGACGAAGTCGTCCTCCGTCTCGATCTCCTCCTTGATCTTGACGAAGCCCTTGACGGCCCAGCCAGCGGCCTCGGGCTCGCGGAACTTAACCCAGCCGTAGCCCTTGCACTTGCCCGTGTCCTCAAAGGTGGCGACCTTGACCCAGTCGATCTGCCCGCACTTTTCAAAGTGCTGCCACACGTCGTCGTCGGTCGTCTTGAAGCTCAGGTTGCCAATGAAGATTTTGCTGCTCTTGGGCACCTCCTCCTTGGCCGCGGCCGCACCGGCGGCGCCACCGGCGGCAGCGGTCTCCTCTTCCTTCTTCGGCCGGCCCTCGAACGACTTGGAATCCTTGATGAGGAGCTTACGACGGCTCAGCTCGGCCTCGGTAAGCGCAATGGCCGCGACCTTGGGCGCGACATCGTTGAAGTCGACGTAGGCGAAACCCTTGTTGGAGGGCTTGTCCTTGCCGACCTGCTTCGTCGTGGGCATATGTAATCTCGTGATGGACTCCTTGGTGATCATCTCGCCAGAGTTGTCAATGAGCCACTGGCGCAGCTCGTCGGGGGTGACGAAGAAGGGCAGGTTGCCGATCCACACGCCGTGCTCGGAGCGGGCGGCGGCCTTGGCCTGCTCCTTCTCCTCCTTCTTCTTGGCTTCCCTCTCGTCATCGCTGTCGAGCTTGACGGGGAGCTTCTTGCCCTTCTTCAGGGCACGCTTGGCGCGCTTGGAGGGGGGTTCGGGGGCCTCGAGGTCAACTTCGATCTCCTCGACGGCGGCGGTGGATTTGCGCTTCTTGGACGACTCGGGGGATTGTGACGGCGCATCTTCGACTTCAACTTCGGCCTCGGGTTCGGCCTTGGCCTTGGTCTTCTTTGACCGCTTCTCTGAGTTGGTGGTAGCCATTGTGAATATTGCGGGAGCTATGCGATCTCAAAGACTGATTGCGCTCCAATAATGGCAAAGGGTATTTCGAGATTTTACCAGAAACCACCGTGAGAATCTCGCATTGAGACCCTTGGTCGGCTTGGGCCCAGAAGTTTTTTTTTGTTCCTGGACCACAATCGATAAGCCGATAAGAGAACATGGGCGGAACCTGGTGGGTCTCGACCGCTCCACCCCGCCGCCGAGGCCTGCTCACCGAGGCTGACCTTGACGGGTCAAGGTCAGACGGATGTACCCAGACATGTAGCGGTACTTGGTGGCAGCTTGGGCTGCAGATAGCTGATTCTACCTAGCGGTCGAGGAGGTTGGCACTTTGTCCGAAAACTCGCGCCCTGCATTTTTGGCAGGACTTTGAGTCCTATACCTAAGAGGCGGATACGTAATTATGATGCAGAAGGGGAAAAGAAGAAGAAGCGGTGACTGAGACTTTTTCTCTCGGGCCTCAGATCTGTGTCTCTGTCTTTCTGGGTCTCTGTTTTTGCTCTCCCTTTGATTATGCGTATGGATGTGTTTGTAAGTCATCATTTCTCGTCCGGTTCGGTTTGTCTTGTTTTGATTCAGAAGAGAGCATTGCGGCTCAATGTAACCCGGCGCAAATGAGGAATAGAGTGCCACCTAAGGACTTGTCGTCAAGGACAATGAGGGGCATCCACTTTGTGGCCGGGGAGTTCCAGGTTCTTTGCCATCAAGGGACGCTGAAGAAGGTTAGAGGGGTTGGAAGGGGTTCATGGATGATGATGCGAATGGGGCCACCCGCGACCCGCTTACTTTACTTTCCCTAAAGTGCTATTCTGCTTGGTTGTCCGTAGAGAGTTAAGATGAGCATCCATTGGCTTGTCGACGCCGCCGAAGTCTGTCTGACAAGCCATATTCAATCATTACCGAAGGTTATTGTGCTTTGACAGTTCGCAGCCACTTGAGATGTTACCCTAGAATAAGGTACTCTACTTCCGGTGAGTGTGCGAGGTATCAAAGTCAGCTGAAAAGGAGGCTGAAGAGAAGAGAGAGTGGAGAGTTGTACTGGTGACTTGTGGATAGTAAGCCAAGGTACCTGGTCTTCAGAGTGAGACTCCCGACTCAAGAGGGAGAGAGGGAGCGGGAAAAAATAGTCAGAGACAGCCCCCCACCAGTGGTAGAGGCGCCAACGCCGCCGGATTGGCGCCCTCCATCATCCACTCACGTGCGGGCGATTTCCGACGAATGAGATCCGCCAGTCGCCCAGACGAAACCGCCCAGTGGCCGCCATCCCGCTGCCCCCTCGTCACAACAACTCGCAGAGCGCAGGAGTGACAACCAATGCCGCCTCGGTAAGGTGTGGTCCTGTGCCTTCTCAAGGTACCGTAAGTATCTGTACATTGTTACAATTGGTGGATGGTGCCTGCTGTTTCGGCATAGGGCATCCATCGGGCCCTTGACCGCTTCTGTTTAATTTCACAGGCGGCTTGCAGCAGCTCGACCCAGCGGCGCCGCACCCTCTTTCTCGAGGTACTGTAGGTTCTTCTCTCTACTTACTCGTAGTACGCGGACATCTGCAAGCTACTATGAATGCAGTCCAATCCCTAGCACAGCTCTGGATCTATATTCGTACCCAAACCCTTTTCGAGCATTCCTCTCTACTCGGGCAGCCTGTAGGCCTGCAACTCGGCACAGAGAGTGGGTTAGGTGGGCATCCCATCCAGCCAACGCACGTTGCTTAGCTGGGTCTAGGTGGTTCCAGCGATCCAGTGACCCAGTTGCAGGCTTGCAGCAACAAATCCCACGCCGCCATCTGAGCAAGGTCCAGCAGGCCCAAGCCTACCAGGTTAGTCCCCAGCAGCTTAGTACCACTGTAAAGAAGGCGCGAGGTGAGGTACAAGCACTGAAAGAGGAAAAGGTCCTTTTTTTCCCTTTTCTCCAGTCCCCTTCGCTTCCTCAGGTGTGCAGCGGGTGCTATCCCTCGCCCCGTTCGCCTCCATCGTCCTTCTTCTCCTTTGCCCGAATCCTTCTGCCAACTGCTCTTCTTTCCCCTCACATTCACCCTCTTCACAAAAAGCCCACAACAATCAATCCAAACAAGAAGCCGTCCTCCCGTCTTCTTCCCGACACTTACCGCCCGACCGACTCATCTTCAATCAAAGCAACTCGAGCATCTGGTCGCACCTAGATTGTTGTCGTCGTCGCCGTCGTCCTTTTTGGTCGCAACCGTCGTCGTCAGCCAGAGTCAAAAAGCAGGAAACCTCCCGCCCGACTCCGACTCCCCGATCTTTCGAATTCAATCACAACATGAATGTGTTGTTGTCACCACAACCGCCTCTCTTCCAACATCCCCACGACCCCAACCGCATTTCTCCCTCTCGTTCTTGTGAGTATTTCCCTCGTCGCTGTGTTCCCTCCCTGGGCTGGCGTAGCATGGGGCGAAAGACAAATCTCGATTTTGTTTCGCAACCGCTACCCGACGACTCGTGCATCCTGACGCTAATCCTTAACAGTGAGCCCATTTCACAACATGGCCACCAGCCGCAAGCGCAAGGCTGACGAGGAAGGCGATGAGATGTCCCTCTCTCCCCGAAGCTCCCCGTCCACCTCATCAAGACAACTTCAGCGCCCGTCGAAAAAGGTTCGCTCAAATGAACTGGTCGGCCGCCCACTCACCCTCCCCCGACTCCTGGAGACTCTGGACCCGACCGCATTGCGAACCGTTCTCGAGCGAATCTGCGAGCGTCACCCTGACATCGGCCAGGAGGTTGTTAGCAGTGCCCCTCGCCCGACAGTCGCCGCTGCACACGGCGTTTTGCAAGAGTACCAGGACAAGGTGAAGGCCGCCATTCCATACGGAGAAACTAGTGCCGACTACACCTACTACCGGGTTAAGGCCCCCTTGACGGCTCTTATCGATGCACTACTTGACTTCACCCCGCAATATCTCCCTCCCAACGAGAACCAGGCCACCGTCTCGCTGCAATATCTGGACGGAGCCACCAAGATTATCCACGCCCTTCCGGACTGGGAGCCGCAACAATATCGACACCACAAGGAAAGCGCATATGACGAAATTGCAAAGGCCTGGGCCCTGGTCATCAACGAGGCTGCTAAGCGCGGGGGCGGTCTGAGTCTGCACACTGGAGGATGGGACCAGACCCTGGCGAAACACCACGAGATCTCAGGCGGACGCATGGGCACGGCAATGAATGCTATGGCGGCGAGCGTCAGCTGGATGGCGAACGGGGGCTCCAATGGTCAACAGCCCGGAAACCAATCCTCGGATCCGAACTCAATCCTCAACCAGCTCATGTCTGGCACATATGGCGCACCTGTGCGTGTCGGACCTTGGTAGAAATCTGAGACTGGAACGACGAAAGAACAAAATCATCCGAACGTCAAATAATAAGCATCGCCGCGACATCGGCCACGGTCGGCGGCACCCACTGAACATATCACGACGACTATAACGACGGCTTACTTCCTTCTTTACTTCATTCAGCATGGGACGGCAACGGGCATAGACTTTTGGGTTCCACGGACACATTTTCTGTCAGGACCACGAGGGGTTGGGCGGCGTTTTGTCACTTTTCGTTGATTTGATGATATCCCTTTCCTGACGCTAGTTGCGAGTCTTCTCGTGGTTGAGAGTTGGGGTTTTTCTATCCCCCATCCTCTTCCTGCGGTTGACGAGGAAATCGAGTCACGCGCTTTGCATGTAGGTAGTTAGTTTTGGTTTTCTTAGGTTTCAGGGACAGCATCTTGGGGACAGCAAGCAATCGATGATCCCGCCCGCTTGGGAGAGTTCAGTCCACTCATGGCTTATAATTATCACCCTTGACGGAGACGCTGTGTGGGTTGATTGAGGACGAGTGTGAGAGAGAGGCATCTCGTTATGAGAAGAAACGAGTTCACACTTGAGTCGTGCAGAGCAGATAACGGTTTCACAGCAGTTGGCGACCTCATGTGTTAGTGTAGCATGAAATTAAGGTATTAGCACGTTGTATCCATGCAAGCGTACGTGTCCCACGAGTCGCTCAGTTTGCGTGCATCCAAGACGGCTCATCTGTTTCAACTGCCCACTGAGTCGGTGACATCCGCGATGGCCACATGCGTTCTCCTTTACAACTCGAGGAAGCTAAAGGCCTGCAGCATTGTTGCAGGTTGCATGTTTGTCTGTTTGGCATTGACAAACACCTATATTCATAAGAGAAATTGCCCTCTGATGATGAGATACCTTTGTACGGGCAGATTTGTATGGGTGGTCATCATGATGCAACCCCTCTCCTCTTTGCGTGCCTGATCATCGTCAGCCTTTAACAAATGCCGAGCCCGGGATAGCCGTAGACAGTTCCTCATTATCGTCGCCGTTCTTCCTGGGCCGCCTCTTTTCTGCCCTCTGCCAACTACCTTATGAGCGAGAACCCCAGGCCCGATGAGACGCCTGGTCAATACATTGTGATTACTCGTTTTCATTTGACTGTTCGTGCGCTTTGGTCATATTACACCAAAGCACTCCGACCTCCTCACCCCCTCTCCCTCTGATGTTTCTCGTGGACTGTCCCTGTTCAACTTCATTGTTTTTTTTCCATTTGGGTGTGTGTCGTGTATCGTGTGTTGTGTGGTTTGAGCAACAGACTAAACCCTTCTGGATGAGTTGGACTAGAATCAAGAAAGGGCTGAAAGCCTGAAACTCGTCAGAGAAGATGCACGTCTCTCGCTGGTGGTGATGAGATTGGATCCTCCTTCCTTTTCACCGATTACGAGATGACCCTCCAACCTTGCGGGCACTTGGGATGCACCTGACATTGGCCGCGCCCGCTGTGCTCCCACACACACTGTTTGGCTGCTCCAAGGTTGCTCCAGGAAAATTAAAGCTTTCGAACCTCGTTTTGGCGGCATATAGCGGGGTAGGTTTGTGGAGGCTCTTACTCCAACCGTTCGCTGTTCGGACGACAGCGGCAGTGAACTCTGAGGTGATGGTTCAGGTGCCACGGGTGCCC